TGGGAGTCCCTATTTGCCAATGATACATCTGAGAAAGGGTTACTTTCCAAAATATACAAAGAACTTATACACATCAATACCATTACATTGCATACTTAAAATTAACACAATGTTATATTTCAATTATATCTCAATAAAACATAAAATAACCGACTACAGACTCTAAGGAAGAGTTGTCTGGGAAGTGGTTCTGAGAATGTAATCAGACATACTAAATGTGCCTTATGCAAAATGTATAATCGAGAAATTAAAATGTGTTTATCACTCTAGGCAGTTAGCATAGTTGGTTAAAATGTGGGATGAACAGATGCAATGATCTCTTCTCTATGACCACCGACTGATTTCCTGCCCTGGCAGAGGCCTCATGGAGATGTGCCATGGGGGATGAGTAAGTTGGTATGCACCTGTCTGAGCAAATTAATCACCAGGACCAACAACAACAACAATTGGCAAAGAGGCTTTACTATTGCAGTTATTGGTGTATTTGTAGACCTAAAAGGCTACATGAGTTGGGATCAGAAGGCCTGGGAATGAGTTAGGATACTGCCACTTAGTTATATGATGTAATCATGAAAATCACTTAACCTCCTTGAACTTTGTTCCTTTTGGATAAAATAAACATGACCATAAAAACCACATCAGAGGGCCTTCTGAGAATCAACTAAGTACAACATAAGTAATTGTAAGCACATTGTACACTGAAAAAGCACTATTTACATAGTTCTACAAAATGTAAATCATTTGTCTCATTGTTATGGTTATTTGTTTTCCATTGTACATCTTGGTAGTAAGTCAGCTTGATTCTCTATCAATCTTTTGGAGAGTTACCATAATAATCTATAATGGGAACAGGTGCATGTTGGTTATCTAATTGCAGTATTCATTCAGTCATTCAACAAACATTCACTGTATTTCTACTATGTGCCAAGTACAATGGCAGATACTGAAGATACCATTGGTAAAGTGGACATCATTTTGAAGAGGCTAGGCAATGGTTCCTGACTCAAGCTGACTACTTGAGGACTCTGAGAAAGAGGAGCCTGACCCAGAATCATGATAAAACACAGTAAGTTCTGCCAACTGAAAAATAGTGGAGAAAGACTGTGAAAAAGCTAATTTTCAGGATAGCATGAGATGAGGCTTAAATGGTAGAGGAAATTGAGATTCTGAAAGTTCTATATGCTCTGTGAATAACTGATTTCTGAAAATGTTCAGATAGTGACCATCATAGGTGCATAAATAAACATCTTATATTATAAAAAGCTAATATGCAAATTGACTGAATGGTGGAATGACCGGTCACTATGATGCTCACTGACCACCACAGACACTCAATGCAGAAGCTGCCCCCTGGTGGTCAGTGGGCTTCCACAGGGGGAGTGCCACTCAGCCAGAAGCCAGGCTCACGGCTGGCGAGTGCAGCAGAGGTGGCGAGAGCCTCTCTTGTCTCCGTGCATCCATGCTTTTGTTCCAGCCCTCTGATCCAGTTTAGAACCCATTGTGGCCCTCGAGTCAAAAAGTTTGCCCACCCCTGGGCTAGGCTGAGGGATCTCCTTGAGTACATGAATTTCATGCATCGTGCCTTTAGTATTCTAAATAAAAGGCATAATACAGGTTGCAAAGGAAAAAATAAAACTGACCCTATCTCAGGTGACATAATTGTCTACATAGAAAACCCAAGAATTAATAAGGAAATTCAACAAAATTGCAAGTGCAAGATCAATACACAAAATCAACTGCATTTCTATATACTAAAAATGAATGTATACAAAATGGAATTTAAAAAAACACAATACTTTTCAGAATTCCTCCAAATAAATTGAAATATTTAGTAAATATCTAATATGACATGTATGGGATCTGTTTTCTGAAATTTTCAAAATGCTGATGAAATAAACATAGAAAGAACTAAATAAATGGAAAGACATACTGCGCTCATAGGTCAAAAGACTTAACATAGTAATGTACATTGACTTATAGATACAATGAAATGTCTATGAAAATCTCAGCACCCCCCAAATTGATTTATAGGTGTAATGCAATGCCATTTAAAATCCCAGCAAGGCATTTTGTATACATAGACAAATTTATTCTAGAATTTATATAGAAAGGCAAGAACCTAGAATAGCTAATCAATTTTGAAAAAGAATAATAGAGTGTAAGGAATAATTTTACTTCATGTTAAGAGTTATTTTACAGCTACTCTCAAGAATGTGTCCTTTTAGTGAGGGCATAGACACACACAAATGGAACAAAATAGGGAACCTAAAAATAGATCACAAAAATATACCCTACTGATTTTTGACAAGGGGACAAAAGCAATTCAATATAGGGAAAAATAGACTTTTCAACAAATGCTGCTGAAGGAACTGGACAGTTACGGGCAAAAAATAAAAATAAAATAAAGGGTGGGATGGGGTGGGTGGCCTTAACCTAAACCTCAACACCATATATAAAAATTAACTCAAAATTGATCATAAACCATAAACTTAAATCATAAATTGGACCTCATAAATTAAAAACTATTGCTTTGCAAAACATATCCTGCAAGGAAGATGGAAAGACCAGGAAAATTGTTTGCAAAGGTCAATTATTTAGAATATATAAACAGTTCTCCAAAGTAAAAAAACAATCTAATTGAAAAGTAGGCAAAAGGCAGGAACAGGCATTTTGCTGAAGAATATACAGATGGCAAAAATGATCATTTAAATGCGTTCAGCAAAATTAGCCATTAGAGAAACGAACATTAAAATCACAGTGAGATGTCACTATACATTATCAGAATGGCTAACATGAAAAATAGTGATGCCAAATGTTGATGAGGATGCTGAGAAACCAGATAACTTTTGTTGACTGGTGGGATATAAAATGGTATATCTACATGTGTGATAAAATTAAACAGAATTAGCCTGCTGGTGTGGCTCAGTGGTTGAGCATCAACCTATGAAACGGAGGTCACGGTTCAATTCCTGGTCAGGGCACATGCCCCGGTTGCCGGCTCGATCCCCAGTAGGGAGCATGCAGGAGGCAGCCGATTAATGATTCTCTCTCATCATTGATGTTTCTATCTCCCATCCTCTCTGAAATCAATAAACATATTTTTAAAAATTAGACAGAAATAACTATAATACATAAAATTTCGTGTACATAGTGAAATCTGAATGAGGTTGGTAGATTGTGTGAAAGTTGATTTCCTGGTTGTATTATTGTACTGGAATGGGTAAGATGTTACCTTTGAGGGAAACTAGATGATAGGTATAAGGGATCTCTATTCTTTCTCACAAGTGTATGTGAATCTATAAATATCTCAAAATGGTTTTTAAAAATCACTCTAGTTACAGTATGAAGATAACTGGTACGGAAGGTGAAATATACAGAGTTATTGGGGGGGGTGTGCTTGGTGGGGTAAGCAGTGGAGGACAGGACATGGTCTATGATGACCACCAAGTTTCTTCCTCCAGCTTTATTTAGTGGGAGAGGAGGGGCTCTTGGATTCAATTTTGATCTTGCCGAGTTTATTTTCTACCAACCAAGCAGGGTGTACAAAATGAAAACTCCAGAAAGAAGAAGAGGAATCCCTGGGCAAGGGAAACATATAGAATGTTCTGCTGGATTCTGTGCACATAATCTTCATCATCTGCGGGATTCTGTCTCTATTATCTCCAGGGCTTGGAAGTCAATTCAATTCAAGATTATACATTTCAGTCCACTTAGTTTATCCACCCGAGTACAGTCAACAAGTCTTGAAGAGGTAATTTTCAGGTAGAAATTAGACATCTTTTCTTAATCAAAATTTCCAAAGGCCTTTATTATAACAATAATTACAATTATTCAGTCATCTACATTTAATTTTCAAAGGCATTTCCACAAGAAACTCTCCACATCTCATTCCATTTTCATCAAAATGCAGACTCGAGCCTGAGTAATAGATCTAATTGCTAAAAAAGTGGGTGGGGAGTCGGGGATTTGAGGATATTTCTGTGAGCTGATTCCCTGCAGGCTCACTTCATTTTTGATCCTTCACCTTTCTAAAGCATCCAGGCCTTAGGGATAGATTTAACTTCCCTCCGTTCACGCCATCTAGTGGTTCGAAACGGTGTCTGTTCGGTTTTAAGGAAGATTCCTAATGACTGGGGGGCGGGGTGCACGAAAAACAACACGGTTGGCCACGACAGTTTCCTAATCTCAGCATCACATCACCGACTCCTCGCAAGGACACCTTTAACTACTCCAGCCCTTTGGGAAGTGCACAGAGATGCGCCGAGAGCAGGAAGGGGGCGCGCACCCATCGCGGCGCACGTCTCCGGACGCCGACCTTTAGAAACGGGTTCTAATTCCTTCCTGTCATTCGCAAAGGACGGGGAAAGGAGTTGTGGCAAGACCTAGGCTGAGGACACCGCCAGACTTTTCGACAAGTTGGATAGATGACGTAGTAGCCTCTGCAACCTGAACGTCTGGCTTGAACAAATAAAAAGAAAGAGGGAAAAAAAAA